TTTTACCTGAGGGATTGCTTGACAACTTGATCAACCTGAAACGGCTGTGAGTTAACATGAGTTTGTCTAGGTTTTATAATAAATTGTGAGGCTTTCTCTGTAAGAGCCAAGGATCAGCCTAGCTGGGATTATATTGACAACACTGGGGCTCAAACTTGTTGAACAAAATTAATTAAATGAGTCGATGTTTTTCCAGGAAACTGAATGCTAATAGTTTAACGTTTTTACCTGAGGGATTGTTTGACAAGTTGATCAACCTGAAAGGGCTGTGAATTAACATGAGTTTGTCGAGGTGTTGTAATAACTTGTGGGGCTTTTTCTGTAAGAGCCAAGGATCAGCCTAGCTGAGATTATAATGACAACACTGGGGCTCAAACTTGTTGAACAAAATTAATTTAATGAATCGATGTTTTTACAGGGAACTGAATCCTTATAGTTTACCGTTTTTACCTGTGGGATTGTTTGACAAGTTGATCCACCTGAAACGGCTATGAGTTAACATGAGTTTGTCTAGGTTTTATAATAAATTGTGAGGCTTTCTCAGTAAGAGCCAAGGATCAGCCTAGCTGAGAATTTTAATGACAACACTGGGGCTCAAATTTGTTGAACAAAATTAATTAAATGAGTCGATGTTTTTACAGGGAACTGAATGCTAATAGTTTACCGTTTTTACCTGAGGGATTGTTTGACAACTTGACCAACCTGGAAGGGCTGTGAGTTTACACTTTTTTTCTAGGCTTTCTGATACATTAAGAGGCTTTCTTTGTAAGAGCCAAGGATCAGCCTAGCTGAGATTATAGTGACATCACTGGGGCTCAAACTTGTGGAACAAAATTACTTTAATGAGTTGATGTTTCTACAGGCTACTGGAGGCTAATAATTTACCGTTTTTACCAGAGGGATTGTTTGACAACTTGATCAACCTGACCTTGCTGTGAGTTAACACGAGTTTGTCAAGGTTATTTAATGAACTTAAGAAGTTTCCTTTGCGGGAACCAAGAGATCTGCCTGAAGTTAGTGGGAGAACGCCATAGCTCAAAATTAACAATGGCGAGGACAAGCAGTCATTTTTAATCGAACCCACTAATAATGATGAGCTGAATAGCACCCGGCCGTCATCTTGGTGGCTTTTTATTTCAATGGTTACTCTTTTTGTAGTGTAACTTTGCTGCCCGTATTGTATTAGGTTTTAAGAAATTTGACCACATCTCCCAAGGCATAAAATCTCTTAATTGGCTCACTGTTAAGGAGAGACTTTATTTTAACGATGCTGTAATGGTATTTAAATGTGTAAATAATTTAGTTCCTGAATGTCTGGCTAACATGTTTGTCCCACGATCTCGTATTCATAGTAGGGTAACAAGGTCATGTAATCTGCTCCACATCCCACGATGCCGCCTGTCCTCTGGGCAACGTGCATTCACGTATCGCGGATGCAAATTGTGGAATAACCTCCCAAATGACTTAAAAGCAGCTGAGAATGTAAACGCCTTTAAGCTCCGCTTACTGAATGCGCTCCTTAGTGGAAATGTCACGCTCAGATGAATCATTTCAATATTCTATTCTTAACCTGTGCGTTAAAAAGTTATCTAGCTTAGGAAGTTAACTTGAGAGGTTTTCTCAGTAATGACTGGCAAGCCTTTATTTTTTCGTCGAGGAAAGGAACGAGGATTCAAATTCTATATGACAGTAGCTCTGCGTCTTTCTTATTTTTTCCCGTTGTTTCGTCTTTTTTTTCGTTTTGTGAATGAAAATGTTTTATTTCATCGACTCATCATTTTTTTTTGTTTGTAGAAAGTAGTTCACACTTAAGGTGGTTGGTAATAGTTTTCCCAAACTCTAACCGGCTATTTTCAGATATTCCCCTCTCTTCCCTTCCCCCCTACCCCTTCCCCCCACCCCCCCCTCCTCTGCGAAAAATTTCAAACTGGATTTCTCAATTTCATTGGAATGTTCAGAGCGATTGTTATGCCACACTCACTATTTCAAATGTCAATCTTTTGTGAGTGAGACTCGTTTGAAAGCGAAGGAAGAAAGTTGGTTTTGAGCGCTTTGAATATACATGTAGCCGGCGAGAGCTTAAGAATACTGTAGCCAGCTTCTTTAGGAAACTTGAATTTGAACTAATCATGAACCTACGAAGAGTGCAAATTGTCCTAAGGTTAGTAAGTTATTTTATTTGCATCAAATTCTTAAAATTTTAACAGGGATCTATCTTTCAACTCTATTACCTCTCTACCTGGCTTACCGAGTTCTGGGAAGCTGGAATTCCTGTAAGCGCTAACAGTAACTAATACCAATCATGTGCAATTTTCCTTCCGTGGTAGAATGTCGACCATCAGGTCTCGAGTGGAATATTCACTTGGATTCATTTACTTTGTTCGAACTTACAATTTTATTTATTAACCTACCCATTGGTTCATGATTTTTAAACATCTACAGTCGACTTCTGATAACTTGAACACTTGCTAACTTGAACCTTGCGGTACCTCGGTCAAAGAAACTATTTCTCAAGAAAAGTATGAGAAAAAATAGATCCAGCTCTGGTCAGGAAATTTGTGAAAACTATAATTTTTACCAACATCTTTTCTTGAACCTTAGTCTTGTCGTGTGTTGGGAAGCTTATCGAATTTTTGATCACAGCTGTACTGTGTTATGTTCAAATTACGCGAGTCATAAGGTGTGACGGTTTTAGAAATCTATCAGGTACATGCATATGTGGCTCGTGAATTTGCAAAATTGTATCACTGCTTGTGTAAATTAAGTCTCCTTGTTGAGTCACACTGGGTCGCCTGCATCGCCTGACTTTTGAAGAAAAATATTTCCTAACTTTTGTTTTTTTAGTTACGGCGACTTGAGATCCCATAGTAAGCCGTTGTGTGTATATTGGTGATATATTTCGACTATAATAACCTCGATTGTCCTATGTATTCGTTTCTACAGGGATTTTTCTGGGAATAAACTTACCTTCTTCCCCGGCAATGCGTTTGGTGTGCCTTTCATTTCACTGCGCAAAATGTTGGTGACTCAATTTACTATTTTTTTTCTCTTGATGAATTTCTTTGCTTCTTTTCATTGGTTTGTGCGATTTAATATCAACAAAATTCCCGCTTCAAAGTAAGATAAGTTACAGATTGAGATGGAGCATCTCTTTGCCTTTCAGGCAATGGAAAACAAACAACCTCGTTTTTTATTACAATTTTTAATCAGACACTTTCTCGTCTCTGACAAAAATAGTGTTCATTCCTTCAGTGAGTGTCTTGCCGTTTCGATTAGCTTTCTCAACAGGAACCATTTGAGGAGAATTCCTTACAGAGCCTTTTACAATGTGACCCATTTAGACCTACTGTGAGTGTCGGGCATGGTCGGCAATCAAGCAGATTTTTGTCTTAAAATTTATATAAAATGTTCTTTAAAACCTCATCAGAGAACCAAGTAACTGATTGTAATTGTGAAATTTTTCTACAAGATTACAAAATACCCTAAACTGGGTCGAAAAGTGCTAATTTTGGTCTCCACAGAATACCGATTAATTTTATGGTAAATATGGCAAGACAAAATCAAGACCTTAGCAACCGTCATTTTATAGAGGGTGTCCGATGAAAATCGGATTCGTTACAATTTTTTTACGTAGAAATATTCCACTGTGATTTTCACTGCTACGTATTAATCGTCCTCATTTTATTCCTGTAGAACATTATCTGATAATCCTCTTGAGATTATCGAGCGGGAGGCCTTTCACCTTGAGTCCCACAACGTGAAATTTACACTGTAGGTTTTAAATTTTTTTGGAATGATATTCCATCTAGGTGTTACTCATTCAAGGACTTCTTCAAGTTTAATATTTGCTGATCAGATCATGAGGAAGGACAGAAAACCGATGAGAACGAGAAAAACAAAATCTGATCACATATATCGCCAAGTTAAGGACTGAAGTGCATTGAACCTGTGCCAAATCTGTAGTAAGATGATCTCAGCTCTTGTTACTCTTCTTCCATTTTACAGCTTTCTCCTCCGGACGACGTTAAAGACATTAACATCTGCCTCATTCGCAGGCCTCCACTCTATGAATTTCAAACTGTGACGTATCCGACATAATCAAACTTTCAGCATTTGCACTAAGTAGTTAAAACGATAACCAACAGACATCATTGCAATAATGGCCGGTGATAATTTGCTCTATCTTTGTTGAAGAGTTTTAAATAATAATTACATTTTCTCAAACTTGAAATTACAATTTTATGGGCTGCAACAATATTCACCTTATGGAGCAACATTAAGCGCTGATAAATACTGTCTTCAAACTCACATGATTTCCATTTCTTGAGTACGAGATAGGGTATGAAAAGTTTAAGAGTCACGGTTCCCTAATTCTCCCCTGCTCCCTGACATATGATGCCGAGCCCATGAGTATTCTCACTATGCAATATAAGTTGATGCTTTCAGGAAAAAACAAAACACATCAAAACAAAAAACAACATAAAACTAGTAACTTTTCGAACTTAGGATAGCTAATGTTGATTTATTTCAGTTGAATTATGATTTTCAGCCGATAGACATTGTTTAATTTCTGTTGCAGTGTTGCAAGGAATAGAACAGCTAGAACCATGTATTATTCCATTCCAAGAGGGAAAGTCACAATTTACTTGTCAGTATAAGATGAATGTTTTGATAGCGTACACGCATAACATCACATACAAAGTAGTTTTGATATGTAACTTTAATTTAGGACAAGCAGCTGAGCAAGGGAGATTAGGAAAATTTAAAAAGACTTAATATTCAAATGTAGGATTTTTAGACCCTTACTATAACGATCTGAGAGAAAAAGCAGAGCGTTTAAATTAGAAGTAGTAGAAATTATATATGAATCAATTACCAGCGTCATCGGCATTAGTGTCTGGTATAGTCTGATAAAATCAAGAATGATATAATCACGCGAGCTTAAGCAATGATATATTTATATGTAAATATACTACAATATTTCCAAAAATTCTTCTGTTATCATTTTCACTCGTAGGAACTCTCCTTATTCTTACGATGAAGCTATTGTCGTTGAACGTTACAGCAGTGAACACGACTCCTTTGAGCCAGCACTACTTAGTATGGGTTTCACCAAAACTGAAAACAAATCACACGTTGTATTTCTCCCATGTCCTTTGGGATCATTTTCGAAGTCTTTGGGGACAAGAAGCTGGAAGTGCGTTAATTGTTCTCCTGGTATGTTATAGTTTGGACGTTTGTAAGAACCCGATGTAGCTTAGTTCACAATAAGAAACGGTGAAGGCGATTAATTTCTTGGTACATGTGTCTAGGAATGACCATCTTATGAACCTTATCTTGCTTGTATATAAACAATATTGCCAAAGAAGTCTTTCGGGGGAGGCTTTAATACTCAAAGTCCGCTGGGGTCGTTTTATCTTAAGAGTCAGTAACCACACCAATATATTTTGAATAAAACCTAAAGGGCTACAAAAGTGTAGTGAAGTAAAAGCTGTCTCTACCTTATGCAGTAATTACCTGCTGTCTCAATTTATGACGCGGGTGCGAGAGAGGATTTCAGGTTTTAGTTTATAAATGAAAAACAGTCTCTGTCCAAAGCATCAACTATTTCAATTTAGGAAAAATGACTTGCAAAGGAACTTTTTTTCCTCTATCAATGAAACTAAAATTGATCAAAAATTTGACTTCGAACCAAAGTAAACGATGATTGTTGGTGCTGGGAGAAAATTCCCGCAGAGGCAGCTTTGCAGAGTAGCTATATTAGAAGGTGAACTATTTGTTTTCGAAAGCTCAACCTTGAAGCTGGTGGAAACTCCTTATTCCACCAAGTTACAGGTACGTTAACGGTTTATATTTTTATTTTAACATAAAATCAAAATGTACTTGGAACCACTCATTACCTCAACTGGAACTTTGACATGTTCCTCTTTCAGGTGGTTTTTACTCCGACATTCTTGGTTATGTTGCAGACGGCTGTAAGAAATGTCCAAATGGTTCTTACGTGGCATATGACAAAAAACCTGGAAAATCTGTACTGGACTGCAAGACATGTCCTGACGGTAACAACCGAACATGTGCTTTTTGACGTCACCAAAGGGTTTTAAGCTATCAGTGTGTACACACGTAATCAAATGCTGTCTAGAAGCCTGGAAAGAATGAAGAAAAATGATGAGAATTAGAACAGCCGTATTTATCTTTGGAAACAAACCCAGCACGTAGGCAAGAATCGAATGTCGCGAAACCCTTCCCTGTGTTTGCTTCATTGTGTATGGTTGGTTTGAAGATCTTTTTTTTTTCACTTAAGGGTGCTATTTGACGCCCCAAGGTTTATAGGTGAACCAATCAGTTGATCTTCCCCTCAATCAATATTTGCACGAACATCGGGTCTCAAAGCTCGGGAGAGAATCCTTTCCACCCAGCGCTGATAAATAATACGAAAACGAGGTTCAAGACTTTGATCCTACTTTTTTTTTCAATGATAATTAAATATGACATCACTAGTCTAGCTGGTGTTTAGAGCTCCAGCTTCATATAACTGAAGGTAGGAGTGAGTAAGATTTGATTGATTAATAATGCAATCTTGGATTTTTACAGGAACGGAAACCGACTTTTTCGCTGGACATCGTGCTTGTCCCTGCTTGGAAGGCCATTACAGAACTCATCTCTTCGACAAGTGTCTTACATGTGGCCGAAGCGGGCTGCTATGCCAAGATGAGTACGCCTCACTAAAACCTGGCTTTTGGTGGCAATGGCGGAACGAGTCCTATAAACATCGCTATGAATATTTCATGAAAAATCTCGCCCGGGAACTACCTGCATTGGATGATTTGTCAGTGCAGTATCCTTATGCAATACCAACACCATACAGATGTCAGGTAGAAGAGTCTTGCAAAGGTGGTTTGGACTCACCATGCGGAGAAGGCTATCAAGGTCCGCTTTGCGCTGTATGTAATCCAGGGTACCACAAACAATTTCACTCTTGCGAAAAATGTCCTTCACGGGCTTGGATTGTAGGACAACTCTCTCTCATTGCTGCTATTATAGCGATATTTTTGACCCTTATAGTTTGGAGAAAGAAAAATAATCTTTCAAAGGACCGGGGACTCTCTTGTTTTGACAATTTGTTGTCAAAGCTTAAGATCTTGATTGGTTTTTATCAAGTCACTCATGGCTTGCTAGATGTGTTCTCGTTCATTGAATGGCCAGATTCATTGCAGGTTGTGTCCAAATATTCAGGAATTTTACAGATGAATTTGCTTCAGTTAGCACCGGTTCACTGCCTTAATCACAAATTACACGTGGATGCCTTTGGAGATTTGTTTGTGCTCTTGTCAATGAATGCCATGGTTATTGTTGGTTCGTGTGTGATCTATGGTTTTTGGTATATGATGATCTCAAGAAAACAGGGACTGGAGGAGAACGAAAGGGCAAGCAAAATTTCACAAGGGAAATTTCTTCTTTACAGAAACGCTTTTTTCTTCCTGTACGTGACATACCTAAGCACCTGTTCGAGGACAGCCAGTGTTATGCCGTTCGCTTGCCAGAAACTCTGCAAAGATAAAAGAGAAGAGCTATGTGACGAGTACCTTAAAGTAGATTACAGCATAAAATGCCAAGGAGCAAATTACAATCATCTTGTGATCGTAGCTTATGTTTCAGCTGCATACATCATTGCTTTACCTGCTCTTTCTCTCGTCGCACTTTGGAGGCATCGGCGAACAATCATAACCAAGAAAGACAGTGATAATGGCTCTGATCCAGAAGTTGTTGACGGATTGCGATTTCTCTTCGAAAATTACAAACCTTGTTCTTGGTACTGGGAACTGATTGAAATGTCTCGCAAATTCATTCTTACGTGCGGCCTCATTCTCGTGGGTCAAGAAAGCAGATCCTTCATTGGATTGGCCTGGGTTGTTGCCGGTATGTATGCAGTGCTTTTCTGCTGGATCAAACCCATGCAAGACACTTTTGAGAACAGACTGATGTCCACTTCTCTTGCCGTTACACTTGTAAATCTGGGTATCGGTGCTGTGAGCAGAATTCCGACTGAGAACATATTAAACATGGCGGACCATCACAAGGACGCTTTGGCAATGAAAATACTGATTATTGGAGCGAATACGTTGGTGATTGGCCTCCTTGTTGGTAAGATAAACATCAATTTCATGGAAAGAAACTCAACTGCAACTTTTATATGTTGCTTTGTGTTGTCCGAAATATTAACCACAGTAGTGTCATATCATTCACATTAAAGGTAGCCTTATCGTATCTCCAATTTATTTGAACAGCAACTAACCATTGAAATAAAACGCACAATAAGAGTTTGGTATTTCTATAGAGCTCAATTTATTTGGTTTAAAATTGAAACTACGTTACAGGCTTCTATGGTTTGTAATTCCACACCTTATAAGATTTTTACAGTTAAACAGAGAAAGTTTAATTCTCTGATCAATCATTTTCTTCCTAGTTCAGTACTTGGCATACTTACATCAGGTCTTCAAAGAGTGGCGCAAAAATCCAAAATGGTCCTTTTCTTGTTGCCTGGCCTTGCTTCTTCCACTTAATGACCTACAAGGCGAGATACGTGGGATGGTTGGCAAAAACATTCTTAAAACACAACTTCAGTCAGGGATCATTGGGAAGCCCTCCATTGCGGCCAGTGCAAAAGATACTGGAGCATTGAGTTTTTCTCCAAGCCATGAAGACAGGGAAAGACAAGAAAGAAGTTCAGTAAAATCCAGAGTGACTAGATGCAGCAATACTAAATGTGACCGTGGGACTCAAACAGAAATAATCGCACCGGCATCTGCCGCTAGCGCTGAACATGCACAAGTATCATGGAAAGCGTGCCGGCAGATAACCATGTGAGTACATGGCTAGTAATTCCTGTTTTCGTTTGTTTGTTTGTTTTTGCGTTCTGGGTGATGTTGTTTCAGAGACAAAGTCCACTAAACTGGTCTAGTAAATCTCTTGAGAAGCGTCCCTGCTAAAGAAAGACATTTGAATAAGATTCTCCGCGACATGGCTCTACAAAAAAAGGTCATCCTACCAAAGCTGATATGGGTGGTGCAAAGTCGTCTCCCCTACTCTTAGCATTGACCTACATGTTATAATAATGACGGTTTGAAGTAAATATGCAACGTATGCAACTTTTTCCAGACTATAGGCCGACTGACTTCTTTATTTCGTTCGTGAAAGAGAGGTACAAAAGTGAATTTTTTTTTTACACTTGTACATCTTTAGGATCTGCCAACCTGTATTCTTGGTTAGTCGTAGACATACGATATGTTGGAGATCCTTCATTTGATTCATAGGAGAAAATATAATGGACTCTCTAATTTGTGACATAGATTCTATTGCTAGACATTTTCAAGGCTTGTCTTTCTTTTGGGAGGCATTGAGAATGAGCCCCTACGTACGCTGGCCAGTTACCGTGCATTTTTCTTCGTTGTTTTTGTCACATATGCTACAACCTAAATGCACTTTAATTACTTTATATGTTTTTGTAAAAGAGACACAAGGATCCAATCGCTCTGACAAATGGCTAACGCTCGAAACGTCAGCCTTTAAACTCTTTACAGTGGCCAATTTACGTTTTCAACTCAGTTGATAACACTTACTCACCCTTTGAAAAATTGCTCCTGTTTTCAGGACTCGGTACTCTGTCCATCACACACCACTTGCTGAAGCAGAGGAAGCCACTTCAAAAGACGAAAAGACCGACAGGAATAATGGAGAATAAAGAACACATCAAGAAATATCATTGCATTTAGCATACAAGGCAACGCATCCTCTTTCCTTTAAAATATTTAATAGAATAGCGAGAGCAGATATGTTCAGGCGAAACATGGTTTTTAATGATGAACTCTATTAACGTTTTTGGGGTATTATTTGCTCCTATTGACATATAATATTCGCATTAATTATAGCATTAGATGTTTCCTTAATGAAGGCATCGTGCCGATTTACACAAATCCACACTCTATAGAATAATCAGCTATGCACGTGATAATCCCGTTTGAACAAACGTACGTTGTCATATTATTAGCAGTATCATATTAGCAGAGGTAGTACATGAAGTGGTAATATTCATAAATATTGCTATAAGCTAATAATAGTGATACTGATACAGTTTTGGTTTAATTCATTATTAAACGGGTATTCTTTAGTTTGTAGACATGCTTGTTCAGGAGGACAGCAGCAAGACATGAAAAATAAAGTACCTCGCTTCGTTCGTGATTTTAATAAAGTTTTAGCACAAATATTACGTCATTTGCTTTGGTGCTACGTGTGGAATCCCCTTGCCCCTTTCGAAAAAAAACATGATATTTAACTCAGTTATCTCAAATGTAAATACTTTTAGGGTGGAAAAAATAACTAGGGAACCTTTAATTATCCCCCGGGGAGGGGAATTTTTTGAGGGGATCACACGGTTTCCAGGGGTAAGTTGGCTGCCAATTAACTTCCGATGAGGAGGGGAAGGGTTGGTCATAATAGTATTATCGAGCCTTACGGAGGATGAGGCATATTTCGTCATGACACAACTAAAACTCCCTAGCTTAAATGTGAACTTGACACATTTTCAGTCAAACGTGGACAGTAACTTTGATAGCTGTCATCAATACTTTATTTCCTTCATATGGTAAACAAAAAAAACCGACCCCCTCAAATGAAGATTAAATATTAAAGCCCGAAAAAATATATTACAAATCAGTTTTAAAGAAGATTTCGTCGAGGATAGAAACACATCAGAGACACGGCTGAAATTGAACAATTAATGATGGGTAGGGTTTCCCTCGCTGTAGTTCTGCTATAAAAAAAGGTTTTGAGTACGAGCAGTAGTTCAGTGTTCGCTGATGCAGCAAAGAAACAAAGTAATGTTGGGATAAGAAGGCATTACAACTGAAATGATCATGCTATTACATTTGAAAAGGGTGGATGATGTCATGTGTTTTAAACTTACATCATTTTTGTTTCTGGTTCAAAAGAAAATGTTGGAAGTAAATGTGGGTCAAAAGTGAAATTTACTGTCTATCATTGTAAATGTTGGAAAATCAAGGCAATATTGTCCTTATGAAAACATTAATGATTCCCTCACTATCATATGGGACAAACGGGAACGAGTTTTGAGTGAGATACCTAAGCACAGACTGTCACCCTCATTTTGGATTTCCGCCTGGGTAGATTTTGGTCGCGTGCTAGGCAACGCATAATCTAGAATAAGATAGAATTTCATTTCAGGCCTATTTATCAATTTTGTGGTGTATAATTATCGCATTTTAATACGTAATCTTTGTTTTGAATCTTCTAATTGTCTTGAAACTTAAAAGAAAATTTTTCTTTAAAAATTCACTGAAAATCGGTAGCCAAAATTATTTGTTTATGTGTTATTTGACTTTCGTGTTAACCTGTAATTTCGTCAGACGCCGGCACCTTTTGTTGCTTCACACGGAAAAACATACGATACGAAATGTAATGATCGATTTTGCCCCCAATCTCACGCCTTAACAGAAAAAGCTCTTGAACACCTGTAAACTCCGAGCGCTTCGGAGTAAGTGATATTTTTAATGAATCTTCAGATTGTTTTCAAGTTCAAGAATTGTAAATTGCAAGTTTATGAAAAACGAAGGTTGTTCTCTTAATTCAGTGTGAATCCTCGCACGCCTGCCAGTCGCTGGTGCCGCTTGTTGAAACTAAAACGAAAAAAAATAAACTCTTTTAAGATTATCACTGGCTTCTTTTTCACCGCGCCACTATTCTTAGCAACAAAGGTTGCCATTTTGTTTGTTTATTACTCGCCAAAAACTATCAAATGCACTCAAAAGCCTAAAATCGAAAAAAAGTTTACAGGGATCGACGAATCGAGCGAGCGAGCGAGCGAGTGCCATTCTCCACATCATATCTACAACTGGCTCTTGCGCACGCGCACAATTCACTAGTTGAAAAAAGGAATATAAAACCGTTAGTTTTCAATTTCAATGCCCCTGAGGTTCGTTGCACTCATTAGCCTCATCAATGTCCGAATCTCTATAGAGCGTCACCCTTGTTACTCTGCTGCATATCAATAGTGAAAGGTATTTCGAAAACATTTGAAATTTCTATGGGGCATTAATTAGATATAAATTGGAGGGAAGGTGTTCATTAATTTCGGCTATTAAAATAACCTGTGGGTGATGTGAGGACAGCCCCGGTTGTTTTGAAGGTGTATGCAATGTACTTCTCATGCATGTAGCTAAAGAAGAGAATGCTATCATTTTAAACTGATGTTACGTCATTATTTGAACCAAATGGTATGAGTAACAAAAGAATATGGTAGAACCAAGCGTTATTACACACGGAAAGCTGGAAAAGGTGTGATTGCTGTATTAAAAGACAACATCACAAGAGGCAAGCCCCTCGTTCCGCGAATTGTGTTCCTCAGATGTGGTGCGCCGCCAGATCTCCAGTGGTGAAGACTCTAATGAAGACACTGTAGACGTGACGCTGATGGAGGCACTTGCCCAATGTTACCAGGCTTCCGACACTTGGGAGAAGCGTCGCCAAATACTTTCCATCATGGCAGATAAGGTGCGCTTTACCAAACTCCTTCGTTATATTCCTTGTCTGACCAACTATCGATTTACGGACGCCAAACGCCATTGCCTTACCTATGGAAGAGGTGGACCAGTAAAGTCCTCACGAGCATCCAGGAGAGACATCACTTCTTCGCAAATAAAGCATTTCATCGCCTTCATAACAAGCTCGCACATTGTACAAGATTTGCCATTCGGAGAAAGATCCATAACGCTTAGCAACAAAGAAACTATAAAGATACCAAACGTGATGATTCATGAATAAGTGGTCAAACAATATTTGGCCGACTGTGACAGGATGAGTTTCAAGCCGTTGAGCCGAAGTACGCTTCTGCGTATCCTTGCTGTTTGTCCTGCCTCTGTTTGAAAGTCACTTCAAAGCTTAGATTAAGTTAGTTCTACAGGATCAGGCATTTGAATACTTATCCGACGTCGCAGAAAGACTTGGAGACGCTGGAAAAGGCATGATGGGCTGGACGAAAGATATACAGAGTCGCCTTCGACTTGGAAAGCGTTACCTCAAAAGGGATTACAAGGCAAAGGTTCTTCATTTTCATCCTATAACGTTCTCAAACACGTTTACAGTTCTTAAGGCGGAATACACGTTTGTAGAAGGTGCTTCTCTACCGAATAAGCTCATGCACTCGTGTGAACGAAAATACCCGTTTACGAGAGAGGCATGCTTCAGTCTGAGCCTGGCTGAATTTTTTGTCAGATAAAAAGTTGTCCTGTAATTTTCTTTTAGATCGCAAATATTGCTGGAAAATTTGTTTCTTTTTCTTTCGATTACTTCTCAGAGTTTCCCAATGACTACTTTTTTCGTGTATATTAATTACATGGCGCCCAGGCCCGTCAAAACGTATGAGCATTGCATGTGGTCTGGTCAACTGTTGTGTGTAATTTGTTTTGCGTGTATTACAGGTGCACGCGTGTCAGGGTTCTACTGTGGCCGATCATTGCAGATTGTTTGCGTTGAGCGACCCAAAGGAGCTTGCCTTTCAAGCTCAGTGCGGCCATCATCATGACGACACCTGTGATCGCAACGACCAACTAATGTCATCTCTCAGCGAAATAGAATCAGCAATGATCGCCCAGACAGATAACCTGCCACCCAAAGTCAAGGAGGAACTTTCGTTTACTCTAAAGCAAGCTAAAACAAACATCTATGCCTGGAAGGCTCACATAGTATGCTCCTTAAATCAAGATGCTGCAAGGATCGATATCCTCGAGTCATTAGATGAGTCATCAGTGTTAGTTATACTGGGCTATGAAATATTTGCCGAGAAAATACCGAGAAAGCCAAACCGGTTGGTTTGGCAAACGTGGCATTACTTGGCACATCAGCGTAGCCTTCAGAAAGGTTAGCAAACGTCTTCAAATGCTAACCTTCTTCCAGAGGTGCACTCAAGACAGCTGTGCGGTTCTCGCAGTCATGGCGGACGTTATCAAACCACTCAAGACCGTCATGCCAGATCTGAAGACAGTCAGTAATAGCCAAGACAACGCTGGCCGCTACCATAGCGAGTCTACCATAGTCTGCGCAAACGTGCTAGGAAAAGAGTTGGGCGTAGCGATCAAACGATTGGTTTTTTCAGATCCCCAGTGTGGAAAAGGAGATAGTGATCGTAAGGCAGCTTTAATAAAGTCACACATGCACATTCACTTAAACTCTGGCAACTATATCGAGAAGCTCGCGCAGATGGTTGAGGCTATTCATTCTTCCGGTGGAGTGGCATCCGTAAGTGTCACCCGCTGCAAGTCTATCGCAAGCCCTCCGATGGTCACTTGCAAAATTGATTGTGTGAGTAAACTCTCAAATATAGAGCTCACTTTCGAGGAAATCCGTGTATGGAGAGCATACGGCGTGGGACCTGGGAAACTGATATCTGCTCCGAAGGCTGAGATCCCATCACCAGATACTCTGCCGTCAATGGTAGTATACTCCTGGCGCACCCAAGCTCTTTCTCCTCCGTCGTGAAAGGGTGGACCAGCACAACACATCCAAGTGAAACAGATCAGACGGAAACCGACGAAGAGCCTGCAACAGCAAACGAGGCAATGTTTACATGCCCAGAAGAAGGACGTAGTAAGTCATTCCTGAGGCACTCCTCCATGATGTAACACTTAGACTGTGGCAAACACCAACGTGCACTAGAGCATGAGACGCTTT